TCTCTGCTATGTGCAGTTTGTATATTTTGCCGCACAGGAAGGAAAAGGGATTACTTCTACGTCCAGTCTGTTCCTCATAATGTGCAATTATATTTCTTAGGAAAATTTGGGCTTAATCTGGAATCCACAGAGTAAAAAAAAATTAACGAAGGAAAAGTTAATTAGCTTTCCTTCTTAGGAAATGAATATGGAAAAAAAAAAAAAAAAAAAAACGTTGAGAGATGAAAGAGAAATTTTTTTATGCTTTCAGGTTTTCTAAATATTTTTTTTCTATAACCATGAAACAAACGTATTAAAATCTTATAAACAAGCTTATGAGAAAATGAGTATTTGTTTATTTTTGTTACACTGCGCATTTGTTTAAAGGTTTCAGACATAAATTACAGTAATCCCTTGTTATAACGCTATATTATGTGGTTTTAGTTATTACCTAAAACCACATGTAAATAACTCCAATGCATGATAATGCGCACGGCAATAAAAGAGTAATTCTTTAAATAGCTATTAATATCTATTAATAGTTATTAAGTATTTTAAAGGCCTATCTATTAATAATATGGCCTTAATATAGTACATTTGTCAATTTTTAATTCGAAAAATTAAGAACTCTGTTAGCAAGAACTCGAAACTTAATTTGCCTGTGATAATTAATATACAGGAAAACTGTACCACAATATATGAATAATTGCATTTTATTTCAAATTCAGTTTTTCAGAAATGATTTTGCAAAAACGATGCCGTCAGCGTTATTAAAAAATATTCATGTATCTTTTTTTCCTCTAATAGTCAATGCATTTACAAAACAGTTCAATTGTTGTTGTTGTTGCTTATGCTCACTTGCCTGACGTAGTTAGCCCAAGCCCACGAAATTCCTCGTGGCAAGGAGCGTTAGGTTACGCCTGCTGTTGGAAACAGCTTTGAGCACCGATCAGGTGACAGTGCGATGTAGCTCAGTTCCACCCCCAATTTTGATGGAGAGAGCACCCCATGGGAACGGGCCCGAGGATCTCCCACCTTTCTTCCCCTACCAGCAACCCCTCGAGAGAACTTTCGCTAGCCACATATTTAAAGTGCCCCCATGCCGCACAAACACCACTATACATTTACAAACATCCATGCCTTCCCCGGGATTCGAAACCGGGCCCTTCGGCACGGCAGTCAGAAACGCTAACCACTGTACCGGTTGAGCGGCGTTCAATTAGTAATACTACATATTTACTTGTTAGGTAGACTGAATTTCTATGGAATGAACTACTAGTGAGCGTCGATTCACAAAGAGACTGATTACCGGAAGGATCGAAAAAACTTATCTTTTTTTAAATATACTATATAGATATTCGACAGTACTTGTTCTTTTCTGTTTTTTTAGCTTCTGTATGCTTTATTATTTCAACAAAAATAAGAAGCCGTTTAATCTTTTTAATTTAACTCAAACATCATTTTAAGCATCTGCTAGGGATGCAGAACCTTGTCCCCAAGTGCTCTAAAATTTCTTTCAGAACTGCCATCTTGGCATGCATATGTGCAGAATGAAAGAGCAGCGGTGCGAGAGCTTCCTCTAAAAGGCAATGCAGAGCTAGGGGATAAGATTTATATTCATAAAGACTTTGAACATACTCATGAATCGATCTGCTATCTAGCAGAACTTAACTTTTCAACAACTGCAATTGAATAGCTAAGCTGGAGGTCATGGATATTTACATTGACAGCTGAAAAAGACAATATGGAAGTTGCAGTGGATACTGTGTAATTAATAGAAACGAAGCTATTAAGGCTTCGGAGAGAAAATGAAACCGAACTACTCAGTCTGCTAGGATGAATTGATTGAACAGAAAGCAGCAGTAGTCACCGTCACGATAAACTGTCATCATAACAAAATATAAGCGTACTGTACCTCAAATCTACGAGTAGTTCAAGAATATAGTTGCAAAAATCCACTTGTTAGAGCCAAATAAAATTCCCTTAATGCAGTGCCATACGTTGATACGTTCTCCTTAATGCAGTGCCATCTGTTGACTAGCCTAACTCCACTGTTCACTCTGGAATATTAGGTAATGAGACCTCTGATGTAGCAGTTAGTGGAATATCCATAGAGTTCTACGTACTCACACTAGTTGTGCTATTCTCGGACTCGCATTTAACTATTTTGAAAACTGAAATCGGAACAGATGGATAACATTAGATGCAATTAGCAAGACAGTCTTTAAATTATTCTCAAACGTAGGGTAGCTTTTAAAAATTGGATCAAAATTGGACCATTTCATTTCAGTTAGCATCTGAGAGGCCAAGGCATTTTTTTATTTATCTCCATCCTCTTAGAGTACATGAAAATGATAAGAATGCATATGGGGTGGCTAGGAATCCGGATCATTGGATAGCTGACTGCCAAGAGCATGCGGAATGCAATCTTCGCAAGCCTTCTATAGGTCTTATTCATGTATAGGCAGAAAATACATGTGTCCTTATGATCTCAAACGCATACGCTACTACATTAACATCATTTACAACATCTTCAAAAATATTAAAACTAAGTCGATGTCGTCAGAAAATACCGCTAACGCAGTACATTTTATAGCACTCATTACTGTATTATTTAAATATTCTATTATAACATATCATGCATAAGCTTTATAAGTGTCATTATAGTATAGTATTTTATATTGCATATTTCCTTCTATAAGCTATATTTGGTTTACCTTTCTTACATTTTCCAACTCGTTTAATTCTGTATTTATCAGCTTACATATGCATTTATTTTATGTATATTTATAAACTGAATTTTTTATATTCAATTATATCATTGAAACTCAATCACTTCAACGCTGTAATCCAGCAAATATCTACTAAACATAACAAAATTAGTTTCATTAATGGGGATTCTGGTTAACATGCTAACTCTCCAGGGAAATCCAGCTCCAAAAGAAAGCTTTCGTTTTTTGAGGAAAAAGGTTTCGCTTTCAGTATAATACGAATGGCTTTATAACACGAGTTTATTTCTTCTCAAATTCTCATTTTATCCAAGAGAAAACTGTATTTATACAGTGCTGTATTTATTGTACGTTCGTCCACAGAAGGTTAGCTTTAAAATATAAACAAACTTATAGATAAAAAAATATTGATCTTTGAACAATCTTTCCCCAAATCGCACTTTACTATGTTAGATGAATCTCGTCATTTCTACTTGAATTGGGAAAAAGTACTCTTTGCATTCTTTTTCCTCTCTCCGACATAGAAAAAGAGTCAAATCAAATCAAATATCCAAAAAATGATGGCGAAGCATTTTTTTTTACCTACTTCGTATATTCGTTGCATTACTTTTATTTTTTACTTTAAAAGTTTCAAGGGATCTCGGAATTCTTTGAAGCGATAAATTTGATGTGGATTTACATGTATTCCATACGGTACACTTTAGTGCAGCAATTTTATGTTTGACTATATAATTTATTTGGCATAAATTTAAAGAGTTTTAAGAACCTGATCATCAGAAAACAGTACGCCTTATTTGGTAAATCCAAGCGTAAATACGATCTAACACACTTTTTCTCAACCTGTTTTGTCCCATGCAGCCCTTTCACCATCGCTAGATGATCGTCCTCCTTCCTCCTTTCGCAGACTAGAAAAATACATATACACATTTATATAAATTAAGATTATTTCTGGTTTTCGACTACTATAGCGAATAAACTTGGCGATCTTGGCGAGATAAAACGATGTTGGCACAATTCGGACTTAAAAAAATGAGATTTGTTGCCTGATGTTATAAGCATGCACGAAAACAAAACTATGTGAAAAGGTAATGCATTTAATACCTACAATAACATAAGTTATTTAATATATGCATACAGAAAGAATTTTATATAATTTTGCCTTTATTAAAGCAGTATTAAATTAAGCAAATTGTAAAATTCTATTTATTATTTATTTACCACATTTTTTATTACCAGTTTATTAAAAAATAATAACACATGAACACAACCAGAAAATTCAAATTTTACAATTTTACAACTCTTTCTGGCGACTACAGTCCAGCAGTTGCTGCTAATAATGCCTCATGCTCATTATCACAGCCTATTTGGTGCTTGAACATTGTATGGTTAAATGTTTTTTCCCAACAGGCAATTGCATATTATTCCAATTTTAATTAATTTTCTCGCGTCGTAAAATGCTCTTATTGGTGATAGATTGAAAATAGTATGCATAATAAATATTTGCAATGAAAAACTTTTATATTTTACTAAAAGCGAAAAGCGAAATTTTTACTATCCGGAGAAGCGGGAATTACGGACACACGCGAAAATGCGTTACATTTTAAAATGACATTAGAAGAAATGCACATGTTTAGGTCGGTAACCGTAAGCATTTGTTTCTCGTACATGCTCAGTCGTTAACCGTTTGTCACTCGCCGAGGTAGAAACACGCCAAAATCAACATTCTCGCTAAGGCCATTGCAGAAGACAAGCATCGAATATTTTAGACCATCTTTGTATCATTTCTTTACTTTTTGCTTTAGAAGCAAAAATATAATTGCTCCTGAAGAAAAGATACCTGTGTGTGATGACCCCTCTTTCGAAAGTGTAGAGCTTTGATTAAGATCTTCGCCAAATTACGGCCGTTTCTTTTCCGAAGTTAAAACATCAATATATAAGCAATTTAAAAAAAAATCGATTTTCTACAAATATTAATTAAAATAGATGAGTTTCTAAGTAAAATTTGAAAACAATTAATTTAGATAAAATTTTCAGTTGAGAACATTAAACTCTCATACGAGGGTATAACATACTGCTTCCTCCAGATATCTTTTAATTTTTCGAAAGATCCTACGTTTTAACGTTCTTGATTTTAACTTGAAATGTGTTCCTGACATTTCTTTCCATAAAAATAAGTTTCTCTAGAGTATTTCTACTATCTATACAGAATGGTATAAGTACGATTTGAAGTTTCAATATTAGAGTAAAACATCAGAAATACTTAATTTACTCTTAAACGACTACGAAACAAACCTGGTATACAAGAAGGAATGTGCGTCCACGAGCCGTTGTTACAAGTGGCAGGGGTGTTGTTGTAACGCAATTCGTATTGTGCCACACAATCGACGGTGGTGTGATTACCGTGTCCCACTTTGTCATCAGGAGCATAATTTGTCACTCTGCCGTGTTCGATGACAGGAACAGAACAAGGAGCTGTAAAAATAAAAAAGGATAAGTTGAAGAAGAGTCTAAGAATAGTCTCTGAGAATAGTCTGAATCATAAAAGTAAAATAGTACACTAATATAATTGAATCTCTAAATAATTAACAAAATAATTAGGATACTGTTAAAATATACTGCAAGGTATTGTTTTAATAATAGGTAATAAAATTTGTCGTCAAAAATCTTAAAAGCAAAAATTTTTAAATAGAAGAAATTAAACAAAAATTGCAATCCCGTACCATTAAATAAAATAGAACACCAATATTTATGAATTTCTAAATAGTCAATAAAATAATTAGAATACTGTTAAAATATAGTGCATGGTTTTAGTTTAATAATACTTATTAAAGTTTGCGATTAAAAATTTTAAAAAACGAGACATTTTAGAATAGAAAAATTTTAAAAAATGCAATTTGTATAAATAAAATAGCACAGTAATATATATGAATTTCTAAATAATTAACAAAATAGTTAGGATACTGTTAAAATATACTGTAAAGTATTATTTAAATACTAGTTAATAAAGTTTGATGTCAAAATTAAAAAAAAAAAATTCTAAATAAAAAAAAATTAAAAAAAATTGCAATGCTGTATTAATGCTCAGGTTCTAGTTTAATATCTGAAAACAGCAAGCTCATTAGTTTAAGAATTAATTGCCAAAAATTCACTACACAGAATCTAAAATCCTACTTTTAAAAGCAGCTATTCAAAAGATTAATGCCAAACAGAAGGGAAAAATTCTTATGATGGTGTTGTTAATGCTCACCTGTCTCACCTACAGTCAGCGCAAGCCAACGAAATCCCTCGTGGCATCGAGTGCAAGTTTACGCCTGTCGTTGGCAACAGTCTTGAGCACCTTACAGGTGAAAGTGCGATTTAGCTCAGTTCCGCCCCTCCAATTTTGATGGAGAGCAAACCGGAGGGGACGTGTCCGAGGCTCTCCCACCCTCTTCCCCTACCACCAAGCTCTCGAGAGGACTTTCGTCTCTCCGCATATTCAAAGTGACCGCATGCCGCACGGACACTATACATTTACAAACATACATTCCTTCTCCAGGATTCGAACGCGGCCCTTCGGCACGGCAGTCAGCAACGCTAACCGCTACATCGGTTGGGCGGCTTTTCTTATGATGTTGTATAATTATGAATTAAAGCCGGGCACAGATTATACAATGTTTATATTTGCCGCCACAAAAGACGGACGGGAGGAATGACGTCATTTCTTAGTTAGCCAATCAGTGCCAGATGATTGAGATCAGTAATTAATAAGTAATATTTTACAGAAAGATATGACTTCTGCATGAATAAGTTCTGTTACATCCGCAGCTTATAAGGTGACTTCGTTACTAATAACGTAAATGCAGCACGAATTTTTTAAAACAAAACAATCGATGAAATCTCTCACTACCCATGTCAAAAATTTCAGCCAACTAATGTATTCGCAGGTGGCAGATATAAAAAAGATAATACTTTATTAATGAATCTGTCTAATGTTTTCAATGAATCGCTTCCGCACGTGGCTTACAACGAATATTTTTCCGCTCGCGAAGTGTCAAAAATTTCGATTATGCCAGGACACGAAATCCAGGCAGTGAAAACAACAACACCTGATTTCAGGTACAAAAAAGATACGAATACATTAAGAGTAACTTTAATTTTACCTATTTTAGAAAGAATAATCAACAGAGTGTTTAGAACTCGATTAGTTAGAGATATTATTTAATGTGTTTGAAATTAAAAAAATATTCTATTTTCCACGAAATTAAATATTTTAAATGCTTTGATATCTTTTAATAAAAAAATATTATTTTTCCATCTTTCGTGAGCACAGTAATCAACGATCGGCGTCAAGAGATCACATGTGGTACATGTAAGGACGTCACAAAGTATATGTTTCATAATAACACAAGCCCACTACCGGCCGAGCGGTAGATTCGCTGAACACTGGTAGTTCGGTCCGAGGTTCGAATCCCGCGAATGGGCTGGCTGCATGGGCGTTTTAGTGGTTTTCCCCATGTGTAACGTGTATACGAGCCAGTTTCCCTTAGAAAGTCCTCTACGAAGGCATTCCACCCCTTAGACAGATAGCCCTCGATGCTTTACCATGATCACACACATATTACCCAATTTTTTTCAGACAGCGAAGTGCATTATCCAAAAATTGTCTTTACTTCTTTGAAAGAGGAAAAAAAAAAAAAATGTGTTGAAGAGACCACCATTTTTTTTAGGTCAATGAAATTTGATAAGTCATTATTAGAAATGACATTTTTCTTGAGGAAGAAACCGAACAAAGAAGAATTCGATTTTTTAAATCAATGAATCCCGATAAGTCTCTTTTAAAGAATGACATCCTTCGAACGGATCTTATTTCAGTAATAAAGGAAGTAATGAACTGAAATAATGATTTTAAAAACAAATCTTTTGAAATCCATAAACAGTAATATTTAAAAAGTGGAAGGAGATTAAAAGCTTTCGTGAGGACTGAATTTGATGAAATTTTTTAAATATTTTTATATAGTTTTATATTATTCGCAATAATTATATAACTATACTAACGGTTTTAAGTTTCTTTTCATATATCAAATATTTTTATACAGTTAGTCAGTTTATTATAGTTAGTTAAAATATAATTACTCATTAATGCCATTTCAAAACCTTGCAAAAGCATTGTTTACTTCATTAAAATAATTTCGTGTCCTGGCGGAATGAAAATTGTTGCCACTTAAAGGAAATCTTTGTTATAAACCTTTTAAGCAAGCGATGTTATAAAAACTGCACAGCTACATTTTAAATAAATCTTCTTTGTTACATATTTGCTGGTCTTTGCGTAGTATTAATTTTTATGGAACAACATCACGGTACTGTTTTTTTCTTACTCTTTGGCACCGGTATTTTCAACAACTAGTTTTAAATGCAAGATTTTTAAACTTCTTTCTTTACATTTTGGAAGGTAATTCTTTAATTAGCACGTTTACCGCAAGAATTTAACTTAAAATTATTTCAGGAATTAAATCGAAATCTGAATACGAAGAATTATACTACTTTTTCATTTTTATGTTTTCATTAATTTCTTTGAAAGTTTTCAACAGCAAACTTTAAGGTTTCGACTGCAAACTTTCAGATTGCTTTCAGAAACTTTCAGATTTCAGTTTTCAGATTGCTTTTTTTTTAAAAAACAACTCAGCTTTGTCTAAAATGTAGTTAATAGCATACATTAATTTAAAGCTTCATCAGTGCTTAGTATCTTTCTTTGCAGCTAGCAGCTATTTTCTATTTTGAACAATTTTCCAGTATAATACGTAATAGACTTCAACTGTCAATTAAGATAAAATAACCCACCGAACAAGTATTATTTTAGAAGTCAACAACAAAAATGGTTTTCCAGAACCATCATTCTCAGCTGCCAAAGCGCAAATAAACGAGATAAGATATAGTGATTAGATAAGATAAGAATGGATGGACAGGAGTTAAGCTACTGGCTCCATCTATATTGATAAAACGAGAGCTAAAACATAATTTCCTTAAAGGCTGAAGGCAAAGATGGAATGGAATTAGGGTTGTTAACTAGAACAGAAAGATTTTTTTTGAATGTGAAATGCCTCTAGAAAATCTAATTCACCAATGGAAGATGTCTTTTGAATAATTTTGGCTGCAGAAAAAATGAAAGTATAATTTTCGGACCAACAATGCTGGGCAACAGAGGACTTCTGGAAAGAATTTCTTTTCATCAATTAGCTATAAAATTACCCGTTTTTTACAGAAATTTAACTTTCAGGTCGTTTATTCTCCTATCAATAGAAGTCCGAGTTCCATACTCAAGGACCCCATTCCGGATATGAATTCTTGGGGTATTTACAGGACTCCTTGCCAGTGTGGTTTAATTTACATTGGTCAAACTAAGAGAGCCTTAAAATTTCGCGTTAAGAAACATGAGGCATATGTTAGAAAAAAGGAAAGAGAGAAGTCCTCTGTTGCCCAGCATTGTTGGTCCCAAAATCACACTTTCAATTTTTCTGCAGCCAAAATTATTCAAAAATCCTCTTCCATTGGTCAATTAGATTTTCTAGAGGCGTTTCACATTAAAAAAAATCTTTCTGTTCTAGTTAATGACCCTAATTCCATTCCATCTTCGCCTTCAGCCTTTAAGGAAATTATGCTTAGTTCTCGTTTCATCAATAGATGGCGCCAGTAGCTTAGCTCCTGTCCAGCCATTCTTATATTATCTAATCACTATATCTTATCTCGTTCATTTGCGCTTTGGCAGCTGAGGATGATGGTTCGGTAAAATTTACTAACGCAGTCGAAACCCGGGAACAGATCCAGGTGAACTAATTTCACTGACGCAGACACCTAGGCTTGTTAGCCTCATCCTGAGTGGAGCACGTTAGTAGTTGTACATGACTTTTTCTAGTTACATAGTTAATAGGCGATCTGGGAGTGGACCTAGTGTGAAAAGCAATCGATGTTAACAAAATTCTAGTATGATGGTTGCGAGGCATAGGTAAGTCTGGACAACGTAGTAAGCGAGCTAGAAATAGAAAATAATCTGGCGAATGAAGCAGCTGGCAAGAGGCATGCTCGACCAGAAAAAACGATTAGTAGTAAACGCTGGATCGCATGAGGTCATTAAAGTTGTTTGTAGGCCTGATGAGGACTAGACCGTCAATCTCGGAACGCCTGCTATTGTTAGCTGGGCAAATTCAATATACGCAGGTGCGAGAAATAGAAAGGAAAGGTTTTCCGGAATGGTTTCCAACGGAAATAATAATTAGATCATGGAATGGCTTTTAGTGGGTACTAGGGAAAAAAGGGATATGCTCGCTGACTTATCCCCGAACTGTGGGAGGAGTTTCACTGCTTATTTTTATGCTCCATGTTTTATTGAACATTTTGTTTAAGGACAGATTAATTTTTATCTATTTATGAAACAAAAAAAAAATATTTCGTAGAGAAATACGCGTTTGAAATGTAAAATTGTATGCTTATTTAAAATTTGCTTAACGGCATAACGTTTTGGCGAAATTACATAATTTTGTTTATTCCAACGAAATTTTATATTTATTAGAACTCTTATTACGGTAAAGTAACAGAGTATCACATGAAGTTAAGACACGTAACTGTAAAGTTTTTATTTACGTAAGGTATTGTAGAAAATTGTAACTGTAAAAAAAAAAAAAAAAAAAAAACAGACTATCAAGAAGAAGAATAAATAATACACTTACTAACGAAACGCTAGCTACCCTCACAAAGCAGGAGCCCGTTCATAGTAGGCACTCAATCCCGGAACGACTGAAATTCCCTATACTCAAAAATCCCTTTTCCTTTCTCCTCTTAGCTCATCCCTACTTTCACGTACCATACCTACAAATCTTGGACTCTTCCAGCAAACAAATAGAATTCGTTCCGGGATTAAGCGCCTACTTCCGATGAATAAACGAAAGGAGAATCAACAGGCCGTAGCTGGCGAGGTTGTAGGCTGTAGATATTGTTTTACGAAATGTACAGGCGCGGTGAGATGGCTTCACCGCAAAGCAGTTTTAGAGTGGCGATAAAATGGCAAGGGAAGGCAGGGTTGCCACATTTGGAGAGAAATCGCCTATTTTGGCGATATTTGGCGACAAAATTGGCGATATGCCATGGACTGATGGAGAACTTTCTGGAATGAATTCTTATCGGTTTAGTACAGAATGTTCTCGAACACAAGCCGAAAGCTATATAAACCCTCCTGGTCCGCAGTCAGTAGTACTATTAAGAGTGTCTCTCAGAGAGAGTGCCTCGTCGAGAGGGCGATTGTGTGCTTCATCGAGAGGGCGAGTCAGTGTGTCTCAGAGAGTGTGCCTCGTCTAGCGAGCCGTGCGGAGTCGATCAAGTTGACAGCCGGGCAACGAGTGTCGAGTGGGTCGTCGAGTGCACCGAAGGAGTCTCTTAGTGCATCGTCGAGTGCATCGCGAGTTGTAGCGTGGAGAGTCTCGAGAGTACGTGGAGTTCCGAGAACGATCAAGCAGAGTCGGGTGCTTTGCAGGAAGCTGTCTCCACCGTGATAGCCTGATAACCTGAAGGCTGTGTCGCTGATCGTGTCAACGTGTTTATAGTAGTTCATCGACGACAGTAAAACATGTTTTGGAGCTGTCCTGAGAATACTGGCTAATAAAAATGTATTTCGATACTTCATCAAGTGTCGTCGTTATTCACTCCAAATCCACACAAACCCCGTACGAACGTAAGGAAGAAAATAACGTAACAACTGGTGTCAGAAAAGAGAAAAACGCAACAATCGGTGTCAGAGTGTGTGTGTGTGTGTGTGAGTATGGCAAAGCCTCGAGGGCTATCTGCCTAAGAGGAGGGATGCCTTCGTGGAGGACTTTCTAAGGGAAACTGGCTCGTATACACGTTACACATGGGGAAAACCACGAAAACACCCATGCAGCCAGCCCGTTCGCGGGATTCGAACCTCGGACCGAACTACCAGTGTTCAGCGACTTTACCGCTCGGCCGCTGGTGGGCGAATCGGTGTCAGAAGAAAAACTTAACAATATGTTCGCCACATGCGAATCATTCATGGCAACTCGTGTTGTATATGAATGTAAAAATAATACGATTGTAGAAATAAATGTACTTAAATTTCACTAACATTCAACAGCACTTAAATTCCTACCATTTTTTAAAAAAGGAGGACATTTTAAGGTTGATGATTGAGAACATTATCTTTTAATTGAAAATAAGGACTTGTTCTCCTTTTTATACTATGTAATATCTGAAGCTCTGGGAGGAGATTATCTTCAATGGACCTTGTGCTCCGCTTAAACTGTTTAGCTCAGAACTTTACTTATTATTACGAATGTTATTGTAATCAGTTACGGCAGTCAATCTTTTCGTAGATTTACTCTTCTTCCTTTAACAAAAATAATTACTTTACGCATTTTAATCCCACATTTTCTTCGTAGAGTCGTACTTGCAACAGATTAGCAATAATTTTTTTTTACGATTTCTTGTAACTATAGAAATAAAAAAGTCTTACGAATTGCATACCTGAACTTGCAAAACACGTAGGCACAAGAATAACTATAACATGCAAAATATTCATACTTAAGTACACAAGTTATTTAACTCCTCCCTTAATTTTAAATTATCATATATCATATTTCAGATCAAAACAGACATATGGAATAATTTTAAGAAGCCCGTAAATGACCTTAAAATACATTAGCCTAAACCGTAAAATATCCGGGCAATGTTCAACATATGTATTGATTTCATGTCGACGTTGGTTTCCAATCGGAAACAAATCACGTAGTCAGAAACTAAATAAAATCAAAAATCTCTACATTTGAAAGAGAAGCTGCGCAAAGTGTATCACGAAACATGCATTCAAATTGCAGGATATACGAGTCGCAAGTTTTGAATAGCAGCTTACCCATGCATTTGGGAACCGGATGGCTCCACGTTCCATCGTGTTGGCATGTAGTGGTAGCAGATTCCCCAACAAAGGTCATGTTTTCGAGGCAGCTGAAATAAATCACGGTGCCGAAGCGAGTGCTGGTTCCTTTCACGTAACCGTTGTGCAAAATACCAGGATTTCCACACTTGATTTCTGAAAACGGGAAAAAGTATTATAAATGGCACATGAAATATATACATCTAACTATTACTAACACAAAATTTCTTTTTGATAACGGTATGAATTGAATAATTTTCAATAAACTCGTCAGTGTTAGAAAAACGAAATGATCTCGCAAAGAATTTGTGAGATGGTTTAAATTTCCATACTTATTTGCAACGTTTAAAGGAGTAATTTTATTTGGTAACTAATACTTGAAATTGTTAATTGTAATTAATAATTGAAAAGCAATTATATTGCATTAAAACTATAAATACCCATTGGAATTAACGATTTTGAAGGATATCTGCATGGATAAAGATGCGTGCTGCTTGGACTGCTGTTAGTAACATTTATTACTGGAACATTTTAGTTACATATAGAATCATAAAAATAATTAAAATATAATAGATAAACGGAAAAAAAAAAAAAAAAAAAAAACTGCAAATACGAATAAATTAACTCAGACATTTCATCTCATACAAGTAGGTAGGGACATTATTAACTTTCGTTATGATTGTTTCTAATGGAACAATTTTTTTCACCTGGTTCTTTTATCCTTACAGTTAAAACAGTTTGCTATTTTACTGTCTGTAAACGTTATAAAGAAAGCAACAAACATAGCTCTGTTTATCAATCCCTTACCTCAAGCGTTTTGTTTCAGTTTAATTATTCTTCCTTTATCTGACTATTTAAATGAGTCTACGGGGCAGATGATTTTATTCCTTAAACAGTGACGGATTTGGTTTTCTCAAAATGTGTTCATTTTCCACATGAACACCAGTGCCAGACTCAACTTCTCGAATTTTAAACTATACTAAATTTTCAAGATTCTTACGAAATCAAGTTTATTTATCCCAAAATAAAACTGTGATCTCAGTTAGTGGTTTGCATTTTGGACTAAAGTTTAATAAACAAGTTTTATTAAATGCTTTCTAAAAAATTAAATTTCTATTCTATGAAATTTAATAATCTTCATTAAGAAAATTTTGCTATTGGAGAATTTGCAATTTAGCTTTTGCAGAATTAATACTCTATACGTAAATCATAATTAGTATTATTAAATGAGAAGTTCTAGTCTATGATTCTCATCAGACACATTTTTTAGTCTGTCGAAATTTGGCAACTTTATTCAAGAGGAAATCTTAGCCACTGGAGCGTAAACTGAGAAAAGTGAAATGAGATGCATTTTTCTCCGGTGAATACCAGAGCCACGCATGTTATATCGAAAGTAATGGATTAATGCATGGGGAGAAAAAAAATAAAAGCACAGTTAACCGATTTTAGAATATATTTTCACATTATCCGAATATGAATAGCTAAGTGCTGCATGGAACTTTGCCCATCAAGTTGTCAGTTAAAGCAAAGCACTTCTTCAGAAGTTACACGTGAACACATTAGATATTAGAACGATGCTTCTCATCTTCTCTTTTGTTCTTTAAATTATACAGGGTGTCCCGCAAATATTGCGACAAACTTCTGGGGGAGGTAGGGAACATTATGAGGATTAGGAATTGCATAGGAACTCCTGCCTAGAAACGTGATTGTGCGCCATCAGGGGGTGTTGTACAGGAGAGTGCTAGTGAAAAGTAAGGATTGCCTTATTCGAGCGGTGGGCACCATACAAAGAGTATGGAACGCTATACGAACGGACAGCTTGTGAACATGTGGTTCCAACATGATGGGGCGCCTGCTCATTTTGGACTGGATGTTCGTAGACATTTGATCAGATTTTTCTCGCATCAATGGATTGGGCGTGGTGGACCGGTTCCCTGGCCCCCACGCTCACCGGATTTATCAAGCCTTGATTTCGTTTTCTGGGAAGCCATCAAAAGTGTTGTATATCACGATTCTGTTGTGTCTGAAATGGATCTCGTGGCAAGACTCGCCTGCGCAGCTGCTACTATCAAAGAAGCTGCCGGTGTGTTTGAACATGTCCGGCAAGTAATGGTCCGTCGGTGTCAGGCATCTCATGGTGCAAACTCCGAACATCTGTAGTAACATTCAAGCTGTCGTACACAATCTGTATCCATGTCCAATAAATGTTTCAAATTAATCACTCTGTTGTTTCCTTTCCCATCTTCTACCTCTGCTACCACTTACCCCCTGACACTTCTGGGCATGGGTTTTTATGCAATTATATAATTCTTATTGATATAGCCTACCTCCCCCAGAAGGTTTTTGCAACATTTGCGGGACACCCTGTATATATCCGTAGAAGTGCTTAGAGGAATTAAATCAAAGCATGAAAATGCTTAGTCCTCTCCGATCACATTCAATAGGCATATGTTTTAGTCAAATAAGTTCGAATTTTTTACGCTCTTAGAAGCAGTATTTGGATTCCATACTACAATAAAAATTATGCTAGATTAATAGTTTTAAATATGCTATAAAGTTGAACAAACCGAATATTTCGTAAGAAATCGAACACTACGAAAATTTATGTTCTGAGCATATAGTATAGTGATACGTTTTTAAAATCTATTTTCCATCTTTCTGTGCTAGACGTAACAATAGATGGGTCACACATACTTCATTGCAGGAAGTTACAAATTGAGGAAATTTTCTTACTAGCATCTAACCGTCACTAGTCTCATAGTTAAATTGCAACAGCATTCATACCGACGAAAGAATGGGGGAATTATATTAATCCACAACCAGTCAGGGAGAGATAATCTTGCACGTTTATGATATCTGTCTACTCAAATTTGGGATCAACTTCCCACAGTATTTCAAAATTAAAATATTTAAAAATTTGCTTTCTTTATTTTCAATAATTCCTTTCAGTGAAAGATTACGCCCAGTTTTCCCAAAAGAATGTTTAATAGTTTTATAGTTTTCAGCATAAAATGAAAATAAAGGTGAGACATTAAAAGTTTTTAAATTTTCAGTACGCGTTTCAAAATCAATTCAGTACGCGTAAGATGTGAACCTTTAAGAACTATGGGAAAAGATATCACCTTTGCTTTGATCGGGTGACTAGACTTCAGTTATGCGAGTTCTTTGTGCGTTAGGCTTGGTTTTTGCATAGGTATCATAAACTCGCGAAATGTGGGCGCTCGTAAGCCACAGATATTATATCTGCTTCAGAGTGTAACACTTCGCCTATCAAAAAAACCTTTCACATGCTTATTATGATGGATAAGATAGAGGATGTATACTACCTGACAGGCAAGAGATCTCTGGAATTGTTTTTTGTTTTGTCTTGTGTTTAACGTTCCTAACCGTTTAATCTTTTAAAGTTTTAATCTTACTGCATTTTATTGACAAAGTTTTGAATATCATGACGGAATGAACACTATATGCTTATAAACCTCGACCCTGTGTAGCACTTAGTATTGATAAAAATATGATGTATTAAACTTATTTTTTGTGAAGATCTAAATAAATACTTACCATCTTTTTACGGAATTTAAACTTTTGTCTAAAGAAAATAAAAAAATCAACAGAAAATAAATGAGTGAATCTTGTGGACAGTGAAAAGCAACTACATGCAGATACCTTGTAGAGCCATGAACTTCCATTCATCAAAGCTGCATATAGGTCTTCATTTTAGGAAGAACAGTACACTAGCTTTCTAAGGTTTTGTAAAACTCACTGAGAGTCTTTATTAGAATCAAGGACTGTGTTTCCAAGGCTCTTATGGAAGACCTGCCATGGCAAATTTAGAAAGTTGACTTGGATTGGCTAAAAACATAAGACCGTATATTTGGACTAACGAGGCTATAGTATTCTCTTTATCTGATTTAGAGAAAAATAAAATATTTAAATGAGAAATTCTGAAGTTTATTTTATGTCAAATATACTGCAAAAATATAATTTGTTGGAAAAGATGTGAAAAAAGTGAACTCTGCTTATTTTTCATGAAAACTAATCCGATCTAACAGATGGAGGGGAAGTTTTACAGCAATTAAAGACCAAAGCAGAGCAGAAATAACTCAAAGAAAATCCTTTATTAGTATTCAAGGAGAGTCAGAAATATTGATTCTCTTTTGATTGTATAGTATTGCTAAGAGAAATGAGACAGTGTTACTGTAAAATCAAGTCTTCAGGCAGAATAGTATACAACAGTACCAATCGGGCTACCAATTGGCCTCAAAACTAGTTGCCGTTTCGAAACGTTCTAACAATAACGCTACTTTAAAACCTGGCCTCTCCAATTCTTTGGCCGCACTATAATTCTAGGCAATCATGAAAATTCTCGGCAGTTATATTAGCTAAATCATTGCCCAAATCATTCTGGCAGAGATCAAAGTTTAGCCAGATCACTGCCCAAGTCGTTCATCAATGATCAGTTATAAGTAAAGGCAGTTAGTTGCAAATGCAAACGTCCATGTTGCAACTGTAGCTTTCTGTTGCACGCTTAGCGCTATCTCGGTTAATGATGTAATCCCAGATGATCGAAGCATGAGATTCTTATTTGAAGTGGAAAAAAAAAAGAAGTTGCAACTTTAACCTTACTAATTTATTAACGTATTCTACTTCAAAACTGTAGCCATATTTCTGATTCACCTTGCATATATACATTGTGTCCACAAAAGTCTTGTGAAATATACAAAAGTCTTTCTTTTCGTAACGTTAGTCGTAAACATATCTATTCCGCTACGAAAGTGTTTCGAATAAAGCAAAGACTTTGGGCACTTTTGAAGAAATCTATTGCGTAAAAACTGCGAAATTTAATTTTTTATACAATTTTCTGGACTTTTTCATCAAACTCCTTTCATTCTAAAAAAAAAAAAAAAAAAAAAAAAAGGGTGTCCGAGAAGTGGAGTTTCATGAACCTATTTAATTATAAAGACCAGCTTTTATTAAATAACATTTTTTTAACACTACATTGTTTTCGAAAGAGAAAAATATATTGAATTTAAAACAATGTTTTTAATGTTTTGAGTGACGCCTTTTACTGCAACAAAAGTTTAGAACTGAAATATAGTTCTGATTTCACATACGGGTTACACCTTTTTTTTATTAAAGTAAGAGAAAATGAATT